GACCCCACTTTCTCTGGTAAGTGGGTTTTGTTTCATCATAAAAAGGTGGAACAGGGGTTGGTATAGGATGCAGTGGGGAAAAAAAAAAGGTGATAAATGAGAGTGACATGCATTTCTAGCAATACTGTAAACACAGTCATGCTTAAAACCCTGTCAGCACAGAGGGGCACTAAGTGTTCATAAATTACTGGCCGAGCAGAGCAGTACTGATGATTCCATTACAGCACGCTGCTTGGAGGAGTATTAAGGACTCACCTCTACTGACGGGGGCTGCTTTGCTGACCAGAGATAAGGAAAGGCACAAACAGACATACAGCTGATGCCGTTAGCTGCTAACCATTTTGCTGAAAGCGTTCAGTCTACAATGAGAGACTTCATCAACATGTGGCTGCAACTTCTGTTTTAAAAGCGCTCTTCAAAACTGCATTATTGTGTTTTGTACCCACATATTTCCATCCACATAATCAGACTCACAAAGTAATTTCTTTGTATCTTAATCATTACTGTTCCTGGTTCATTTTAATTTTCATGTGTCAAATATACTAAAAGTATAATTTACATAAGAAAAATGCTACAATGATTGCCTGCTTTTCATTTGAAGTCTGTTACCATTTGCAGTCTCTATACATTCTATCAGAAGACAACAAGGGAATTAAAAACTGCACACAGGCACATTAGTTTACTTTGAAATTTACCAAGTGTTTTAGATGCATGACACAAACTGCACAGCACAGAGTGATTACATACTATGACGCTGTCTCCAAATGTGAAAACTCATGCACAGCCAGAGGGTAGAGGGAGACAGCAGTGTCCTGTCAAGCCACAGAGCCTGATTTATCGTCCCCCTCCTTCCTGCACAGAACAGACATGAGGGATGCCTTTAATTTCCCATTAAAATGCCCTGAAACAACTGAGGGCTGAGGAGGAAGCGTGTGCCGCTGTGTGTCACTGTCTGTGTAAGTGGATAGCCTGATTAGACAGTCTGACAGTGTGTGTTTCTGCAGGCAGGTTTGCAGGCATTGCTGTTAAGCTGCACAGACACCACAGTACAAGTGTTTGTCAGGAAGCAGCAACATCAGTGCACAGATGACATGGGCTGCAGCTCCAGGGCCAGGCCCATGATAAATATTAATGCCCAAGAACAAGTGGATTGGGAGTTGAGTTATCAGGGCGGGCCTTCCTAATTGACATTTTACCTGCTGTATACCTTAACAGGGATGTAAAACACCAGGCCTGGGCTCTACCATAGGGGGGATGTGTCAGTCAAGCTCTTCCCCGTACCATCCTCTGGGAGGAGAGAAGGAGCACCAGCTCATTGTTCAGACTCAGCATTAAGGTGCAGCAAGAAATTATCAGCATGTGTCATCTGACCAAGTTAACATGTAATAAATCAAGCTAGAGCCTCTGCTGGTTTTTTGGATTATGTATCAGCAGTGCACATTTGAGAGGAATACAAAATGTTATTGTTATTATAAAGTTTATTTATTAGAGACCTTTTTTGACAATGCCTGACAAAGATATTTTTTAGATTGAAACGCTGCTGCATTAAAATTGCTGGGAGCTTAGTGCAGTGTACAGATCTTTTGTCTAATTTTTGTCCTTTGTTTGTTGTTGGTACAGCACCTGCTTAAGTTTTTTTGGATGTGTGTACCCCAAATTCTGTTATGCTTGACCACGTGTAAAAGAAGCAATCTCATACAATGGGAAATGATGTCTTACACCAGAATTAACTCATAGCTCATGTTCATCTGAGGTCCCTGGGCAGGTACACACAAAACACGGACTGACAGTAAAATTAGCAAATACAACCATTTAATTACAAAATCATTTCAGTTCATTACAGACCCACCTTCAGGCAAAACTACAGTTTTTAATTGGCTCTATAATTTCAAACTTCTAAAACTTAATCTTGTTTATCCACTTCAAAAGTTTGAAATAATGCCAATCAAAGCCAATTTGTTACATATTTTTGGTTCTTAACAATTTAACAGTTCACATAATGATTATTTTCATTGTCCTTTACATGATGAATATTTCCTCAATTGGACCTTTGGTCCAAAAATATCAGAAAAAAGTAAGACTGAATTTACTAATGGCTGTTTTATACAGTCAGCACTCCAAAGATCATACAAATTAAATGTTCAATCATAGAAGACAAACAAAACCAGAAAATATTGTCATATGCTCTAAGAAACATTTTCTGACATTTTTGCTTAAAGAAATCACTTACAACTGATACTGAAATGCAAACACTCTCACATCAGGTAGGCATGTAAACAATCTGACTGTCCTTTTCCACACAGCCCCTGCATTACACACTTGTTCATCCCAAACATTCACTTGTCTACTTCCAAAGAAACTACACAGAAAAACACACTCATACAAAGTGGAAAGTGTGGACCCAGAAAAGTGTTCCCATTTACATTATCTGAAAATTGACAGGCGGGGCAGAAAAAAATTTCCCCCGGTAGGGGGGGGGGGGGGGTGTAATCGAAGATTGTGAAAATACACATGGGTGATGTCATCAAAGCTAAATGGCAGGCCCTGTGTGAGAAAGACTGGAGAGTCTATTCATATTTACCGTTGCCAGGATTTCAATATCAACATCACAGAAAGCACATGAGATGTTTCTCTTTCCACTGACTGATTCACAAAGAGAAACGCAAACTGCCATCTCTATTTGACAAAAATGAAAATACAACAAAAAGGTTAACCTATAGACAAACACCATTTATATAAACAGCTCAGCTAATGCTGGGATATTAGCAGTGCTTTTATAAAATGGCAGATAATTATATTTTGTAAAGGCAAATGTTTGTAATATTTTTTTGAAAAGAGCAAATGTGACTGTGGTGGTGTGATTTATGAGCGTTTGTGGAGGTGCAGTGTAATGTTGTAATAATGCTACAAACACGGAGGAGAATCGAGACAGATCTGACTCGGTGATGATGGACAAGCTGGAACTACAGTCTATATCTGAACCACATCAAGATGCCAATCCTTTTCTTTATATAGTCTCCTGAGACTGCACTTGACTTACCTGTACTCGCTCAATTAAGCAATTAAGCACATAAAACCATGTAAACTAAAGGATGCTTACAGAGAACAAGACTCAAGTCTGCTGATACTAGAGCTGGTCTGAGTATCTGGCTCCACCAAGAGGCCATGTTCAATACAGCTGTTGAGAAGTAGGACAAATAAATAAATGGAGAGGATCAGACACCAAAGTTAAACGTTCTTTAAACAGGAAGTCTATTAATATGTGTCTTTATCCCACTATTGAATTATTGGATTGGATACTTTTACAGAACTGGGCAAATTCAAAGATGTGCATTAGATTTTAGTTTTATTAAAAAGGCCAAGGTGTTTTTAGACTGTGTCCATTGCTTGAACCACATTAGAAGTTACTTTTGTTAATGAAAAGTAAAGCTACTGTTGAGGAATCAGTGAGTTGCCAATGAGCCTGATCGTCAATAAAGAAGTACTTCTGAAACATTTAAACAGTTTTTAGCCTGAGCTGAGCTTAA